GGTTAGCCTGGCTAAGCGAGGCAGCAACAAACAGTTCCAAGCCAGAAAGAGTTCAGCTTCAAATTTCACTAAAAATCACTCGCTCCTTTCCAGGTCTTCGCCGGACTGTCATCAGCGGCCATTCACGGAGAAGCTGGCGATGAAAGTAAAAGGTTCTGGTTTAAAAGTACAGTTAAAAGAGGCTGTGCTGTGCTCAGCTGTCTCTCACTGGTTTGTTTGAATACATTGGTCGCATCCTTAATGGCGGCCACAGGGACACAACTCTACTACACTCCACTCTACTCTACTCTACTCTACTCGGCTCGGCTCCGATTGGCAGCGCTGCGTCTCGATAGAGGAAAGAGTCGATGCTGGATTCCATAAAGCTCCAGAAGAGTCGACTCACCAAGAGAGCTGTCAACTCCTCTAAGGGAGATTTTTGATCTTTTAGATGGGATCCTAAAATTTAAAAGGCATGTGTATAGTTTATTGTACAAAAAATATGACTAAAAACAAAATGACTTAAAACTATGTGGAATATGTAGTTTCTATTGTTACATTTTTACTTTTTTTTTTTACTTGTAATATTATGCACACTGTTATATGTTATTTATTTATTTACTTATCTAATTTTTATTTATTAATCACCAAATAATGAGATTATTAGTGTAAACCTATTTTTACTTATTTTATTTTCTAAAACTTTTCACAGACTCCCTTGCGGCCCCCTGGAAGTCCCCAGACCCCAGTTTGAAAACCCCTGGTAGGCTTTAAAAACAAAATCTTTACAGCTTTATGTCATGTGGAGTTTCAGTATTTCTACAATAAAATATAAATAAATAATAACAAATGTCCCCCTTCCACCCAAAGTAACAATATTTATCATGGTATTGTTATTTTATGTATCACAATCTACAATGATATCATACATCTTTTAATTATGTAACAGAGTCATAATATCATCATTATATACCTTACATCTACCTTATATTTGATTGGTTAGCTGTGTTTATTGTGAGCATGGAAACTAATCTTTCTGAATCATTCATGAGAGAAGCTGAGCAGGGACATATGACCACATATTGACATTAAAATAATAACAACTATGTTAAGGCTTTGGTGAATATGGCAAAATAACTTTTTTTAAGCAGAGCCAGTAAAAGAGTGAACTGCTGTTTCAGATAAACATTTGTCATTGTTATTTAATGACTTCATGCTGCCAAATTTGAAATAAAATCAAGTGATGACTGAGTTAATACTTATTCAAAAGAAGAAAAAAAATCAATACTTTTCAAATTCATTCGTTTTGATGGACAATGAAAAGTTCACACAATGTCAAGTCAAAAACTGCCACTTAAAATTAAACAAATAACTTTTTGCCTAAACGTGAGACATCATTAAAGTGTTTTATTCTTTTATGGAGTGTTTTTTCATACCCATTATGGGTTCATTAAGTTGACCCATTCCCACCTTCTCCCCCTCCCCTGCTGTGTGCTTGACATAAGGGAGCTCTTTTGTGTTTCATTAGGTTCTGCAACGCCTTGACAACCTTCTTTCTCTTGAGACATGTCGTGAGTTACTGTAAAGAGAAAGTACATTTATGACAGGGTCTGCTATTAATCCCATAGTAAACTAAAAATACACATAGGTACATTAGGACACGTGTGATGTCAGTGATATTTTGTGTGAGAAGTGCGCCATCTAGTGTACAACGCGGAGGCAATTACATCAGATGCACATTACATCACATATACATACATTTTAGGCACATTTTAAAACATAATAAATACATATGTATATATAATCACATATCCATATAAATAAATATAGCATTTTATAAATACCTGTAACAAACGTATGAATTAATGAGAGAGAGAGAGAGAGAGAGAGAGAGCTCTCTCAACCTTTGCTGTTAAAAAACCCAAATCATTAAAATTAAGAATGTAAGTTTAATTTACAAAAACTTAAATTAAATTTTAGCCGTAAATGACATTTTAAGTAGCAGAATCACGTGGTGTCACGCAATGTGACCACCGCCAGTGTTAAATTAATTGCAATTTTTCATTTTTTTTTTGTATTACTGAAACGAAAATCGATTTAAAACAAGACAATTTCATACAAGACAGTGGGACGCCTAAGTTTACTTCACTATATTACAATAATCGAATCATGACAAACGATATATCGTTGGAAAGGTCTAAGACTCCTAAATAGATATTTTACCAATGTTTTTGTTAAAAATGATGTAGGAAAAGTAATAGATTAATTTTTGACAAGCGTGCACCTCAGAAATCTACATCATAACAGGAGTTCTGACCTTTGTCAAAAAAAGTCTTCTTTGTTGCCTTTTTCTCTATCACACTTTAGAAATCATCAGAAATTATATATCGATTGAAAACTTGAAATCTCAAAATTCATCCTTTGAAACCCATTTTAAAATCAAACATTGCATTACCATGAAAATGGTACATCAATATCATGTTACAAAATGTTTTCGTTCATGAATTGTAAAAATTGTGCACTTTCACGTCTATGTTCAAAAATGTGAGTGACAGTTATGGGGTTAATGGATGAATTAACAACACCAGACATATTCGTCAGAAGCCCATATGGAAGAACTGCTGCCAGATCTATAATGTTAATGGCATTTTATTACACGACAGTCCTGCACACCTATTATTTTGAAAGAATTATAGGAGATCATTGCATGCTGCTCATGGGTATGAACGCTGAGGTGGATTAACGATCGTTAATAAATTGTTGTATTGACCAAAGAAATGGTTTGATATTTGTGTGCACAAATATTCACAATTTTATTTCATTTTTCCTCATGAAGTGTTTTGATCAATAGCTGTTTTGTTTAAATTTTGAATTTAGCTAAAAAGCATGCCGTTAATTCGCAATGATGGTTTTGTCGTTGGCAAGAAACTCACAGGCCTATCGGCTATACAGAAATTGACTTTCAAATAAACCTAGTTGGAGTACAAAGATGTACAACAAAACAGTTCAAATAAATAACAAAGACATACCATTCTCTAAAAATATGATTGATTACTGTACTCTTCACTGTTACAGTGTTATGAATAATATTTAGTGTGTCTAAAGTCCTTGCGCATGCGTCTAGCGCTCAGCACCAAGGACAGCGGCGACCAAACACACGCGCAACCTGGATGATGATGATGATGATGATGACGACGTGCGGGTCGATGTGACATCAAAGCCAGCGAATCACAGCAACACACAAGTTCCCAGTGTATCTGACTTACTCAGTGGAAGATTTACTCGTGAACACACACACACACACACACACACAAATATCTGATCCTCTGTCATTTATCTCATGAACACACACACACACACATATATGATCCTCTGTCATTTATTTCACGAACAC